TACCACAGCCCTACAGTAACAAGCTATTTTGCAAATAAGATGATTTTCATGATCAGCAGGCCAAATAACCCCTAGGAGCAAAATTTCTAAAATGGCGCATTTGATTTTTTCTCTTTTCTCTTGAGCGCCGCAAGTTGGCTGATATATTAATGATCTTAATTTGGCCGGAAACTTCGCTCAGGACTCACTGTTTACAAAATTCTTAGTTATTCAGCACGAAAGGGCTTTACGTAAGGTTACAGTAAGCGACATCTAACCAAGTCACGCAATCTCGCAAGTGCCTGTTCTTCTCGCCTGTCTGCTGACGAAACTGATTGCGCATTTTTGTAAGTTAGTAGTTTCTGTATACATGCAGTCGGACCATACTTTACTCGTGTGTTCGTCTATTACCCGAAATGAGTTGCAATTCTCGTTCTCATGAGTTTTGTCCTAACCTAAATAGCGTGTATTTTGGCAAAAAATATCAAAGTTATAGATGTCTTTTTTCGCAGAGAGGATTTCGATAGTTTTTGCTGAAACACGCGATTTTTAGGTTTGGGACTAACTTTATGAGATCGTGAACTTGTACGCTTATGATCTTGGGGCATGCCGCAGACGAAGGCATATGTAAAACATGCTTCAACTGCAATGTTCATAAAGACTCTAACCTACAACAATGCTCAGGCAAGTTCGTCAGCAGATGGGCGAAAAGGGCAGACAGACTTGCGAGCTTGCATTACTTGGTTAGATCTCACTCATTGTAACTTTACAGTAAAACCTTATCGTGCAGTATAACTAAAGTTTTGTAAACAGTGTGTCCCAGAATTCTTTGTGAGCGAAATTTCCGATCAAATTGAAATCATATACATTAGGTTGGTCCGAAAGTTCTGTCCCACCATTTTCAAAAAAATCGTAACTTCCTCCCAACACGATGTTTTTACATGAATAAAACCATATTGAAAAGAGCAATTCATGTTCTTTCTAAAACTTCTTTGGATGGTATTCAATAAGCTCTAAACGCAGAGATAAAATTGGGAAAAGGAAATCACTTCAATTTCGGAATTTTTGAGCAAGACCATTAAGAAATCCAAAAGTGTGCCATAAAATCCAAAACAGGCAGTATCCTAAGTTTTTTGACTTCCTCTTTCAAGATGTGCAAAATTCGCGCTGATCGAGTTTTTTCAAAGAAATCATGATTTTCAAGAAAAAATGCCAAAAAATCAATTTCTTAAGAAAATTGATTTTTTGGCATTTTTTACAAAAAATCATAACTTCCAAGGAACAGCTCCATCAGCGCGAGTTTTGCTCAGCCTGAAAGAGGGGATCAAAAGACGTAGGATACTGCCTGTCTTGGATTTTATGGCACACTTTTGGATTTTTTAACGGTCTTGCTCAAAAATTCCGAAATTGGAGTGATTTCCTTTTCCCAATTTTATCTCTGCATTTAGAGCTTAATGAATACCATCCAAAGTAGTTTTAGAAAGTACATGAATTGCTCTTTTCAAAATGGTTTTAACCATGCAAAAACAACGTGTTAGGAAGAAGTAATGATTTTTTGAAAATGGTGGGACAGAACTTTCGGACCAACCTAACATTTCAGCCGATACCTGCGGCTGAGAAAAAAGTCATATCCCAATTTTTTCAAAAAGTCTGAACTTAGAGGGTCTGACCGTCTGACCATGCATCTTGTTTGCAAAATAAGATGAGTTGAGTTGTAAAATAGCTTACTACTGTAGGGAGCAGTAGGTAGTTTCCAATTATGCATGGCCAAAATTTGCCAGCCATTTAACGTCACAGCAAAATATTTTCTGCGACTTCTGTTTGCTATTAGAAATTTGAGAAACCGCTTTATTGAGCGATGCCTATGGGAGTCCTCCATCTAACTGAAGCCTTAAATTGCGCGGAGTTTTGAGCGTTCAAAAGCACGAAGTCTTTGGATTAAGTCTACATTTTGTGCTTTAAACAGTTCAAAAGAGCATAATCGGCATAGTGAGCGTACTGACTACAAGGAAGAAAACTTTTAATGAAACTATTCTAAACAATTCTTGTCTTCGATTTGCCAACCCTTGATTGTAGAGTAACGATTGTTTACGAAGTTTGGACATTCAAACGCCCATAACTTCTTCTACAAGCCATCCAGCGAAACTAGAAGGTAAGTGTAAAATCAGCCCATCAAGAAGCATTCAATAATCTCATTTCAGATTGCAGGTGGGGAGATTCGTCGCTGGTCAGAACGAGCACTTGAAAGCGACCATAAGCAACGTTTTGAACACAAATAAACAGGCCATACAGTCTTTTTCAACCCGGATGGCGAATGAAGAGACGCAGATGGCAAAGCGGCGCAAATCATTGCGAAGCGAACTCCCTCCACTCCGATTTTCGCCTAAGCTGAGTTGAAACTTACTACACATCGTAAATAATATCCCTGCATTGCCTTAAACAGCAATGTAATAATCGCAATCAGCGCATCAGACATCGTCTTGAACATCTTGAGCAGATTTTAGAACAAATTCGGGCAAGAAAACTTCTTACCGTCTCCTACATTATCTTTTTCAGCATACTGAGTTACCTATTTAAGCAAAAACCTGAAAAAGTTAATGAGAACTGATCATCGTTTACCTGCCGTACCCTGACAGAGTGTGGTACTTCTTCAAAAAAATGCGCCTTTGCGAGCTGAGTTAAACGGTTTCCTCGATTCGGGATCCGTCTACCCGCGAGAAATGCCGATGCGAGGCGGATTTCGGCGCGCTCCGTCGCACTTCAGCGCGCTCTGGCGCACTTCCCGCACTCCCGCAAATGCACTCCGCAGGAATGCGGCAGTTTTTTCGACAAATTATTTGCGGTAGTTTACTTTGTTATGTATCCGTGCTTGACTAGGAATTTCTGCACTTTCCCAATTGATTTGGAAGCAGTAAAATCAAACTCTTTCTGCACTATCATCGTAAAGTCAAAATAAATAGAAGCATTCTCAACAGAAAAAGAAATTCAAACGCTGTAGTCACGGATATCCATAAAATCGCACTTGTTCATGAAATTTCACAAAACATAAGTTATGCAGAATAATGGTAATAGGCAGTTGCAAAATTGCTTTTCACATGCTGAATTTGTGAATTTTTGGCAGTATCCATTTCCCGGATACTGAAAACATGTTGTATTGTATGTACACATGATTCTCTTGATGGTTTTGGTAGGAGACAGAACTAACTTTGAGGTTTCTTTCAATCAATTTCTGCACGATGATATCGCAAGTATTTCACTGCAACTGCTAAGAATGGTAGAATCTAGCCATCAGTGGCGTACCCAGGATTTCGGCTCGGGGGGGGGGGGGGGCGCGACAAAAAATTTTTTCTAAAGAAGGTGCGTGGCGTCAGCCACGCACTGGGAAAAATTTCGCACTCCGAAAAATTTTTGGGGGTGCTTCCCAAAGTTTTTTCGGGACCCCGACCCCTAAAATCTGGGAAAAGGGGGCGTGGCGTCAGCCGAGTCATCTGCGCTGCCGCTTGGGCAGATGCCTTAGTTGGGGCCCCAAAATTACTTTCTACGTAAATTCCTCATAGGTTCAGGTCTGCCCGGACGCTGCCTTCAAAGGCACAAGTTCAAGTTTAGGCTTGCAGTGATGTCGATGCCGGCAGGGCTCGGCACGAGATTGCTTGCTGACGTTGCAACAAACGAGTCTCCTTGGAATTTTACAGTGAATGTACGATATCCGCCATGAGATATTAGAAGAGAAAACATATGGAGGAACGAGACAAAGCAAAACAAAAGGAGGCAGAGAAGCATCAGGCAAACGGATGATATTCGTATTCTCCGGATTCGCAGCATGATGTATCCAGCGCACTGCACTACGTGCATGGAGCAGCGACGCCGTCTCCATTTCAAATTCAAGGGCTTGTAACTAGCTGGAAGAAGAAAGTTTGAGGTGGTTTAGGAAACAATTTGTAGGATTCGGAATGTAGATGAAAAATGTAAAAAAGGTAAATGATATGCGAGGAAGGAAAAATTAATGACTTTTTGTTTCCCAAGCCATCTAAGGTGGCTTCCAGGCGCTTGAAAGCCACCTAACTCCGAGAAAAGTTGTCCCCGCCTTCACTTCACATAATTTTTTTTCATAATTTCTCGTACGTAGTGCTAACTCCCCACTGCCCATCTACATACCAATTTCAGTGTCATTTCATTTTTACTTCGCTGTTAGCTCTTTGTTTGTTGGAAGAGCACTCCGCCGGCATGCCGGCGGCACGCGGACCCCATATCGAAGGCAGCGGTGTGCTATTTTGCAAGAATGCATCCCCTTTGTTTTTCCTCAAAACGATATCGAGCCCTGGTAAGCCAACATGTGCCGTACCCTGGATATCGGATCTGCTTTAACAGAGAGAAATTGCGATTGATGAGGATAAAGCCATCATCAAGCAGGCCCGGAATCGAAAAACTCGGTTGATATTCTGTGACACTATGTTGTTTCTTGATTGTCTTCAAACGTTGAGTGCGCTGCAAGCACTTTTCTGAGCGGCTGCAGCTGCATCAAATACTAAGTAAGGAGATCTAGTTGGCGACCCCCTTTTTCAGTCTGGACTCTTGAGCCTTTTTAGTTTAGAATTTAGTTATCTTGTTTCATCGCATCTAGTCGTGTCTTGTAATCACTTTCAATAACAGCACCTTCTACTTGCCTGGAGTCCACTTGGGCTACATGTCAATCAAATTTGAACACTTGCCATAATTAGAATCATATGTTATGCTGGCATTCCATTTTGAGTACAATATCTTCTATTTGGTTATTTTAGTTGTTAATACAGGTCTAATTCTCAAGATTAAAGTAATCTTTCTTGTACAACTTCAACATCAAAAGACCCGGGCGGCACCAGCAGGTACGGTACACCGACAATATGCCAGATGCTAGAGTTTATCAAAATTTATCCATTCTGGGCAATTGCTTGCTAAAACTATACTACAAATGTATTGTTCAAGCCTTAAAGTTCTGTGCTTATCTAAACAAGCCTCAAAGTTCTGTGCCTATTTAAACTTACCTCGTGAAAGCGGAGCAAGAAAAATGGCAATACCTTGAATTGCCATAGTACTCATACACAAAATTCGACGACCTGCATAAGTCATGAGAGGAATTACCATCAAACCCCCTAAACACTGCTAATATCATAAGACTCCGAAATCATCAGATAATATATGTTGATGACAATCGCTTACCAGGTAGCTCGGCAAGAGCGGTCAAAATGTATGCTGTAAATCGATCAGCGCTAAGATCAACGGAAAGAAATGTTAGACCAAAGCCGTAAAACGCCAGAGTAAATCTGAACATGCGGATTACGACTATCATTGTAGGAAATGCAGGAATTTCTCTTTTTATTAAAATAAAGCTGTAGTTTGCCAAATTGTGATTAACAGCTGGGATATAGTGTGTTGTAAGTTTTTTGTGCAAGTCAATTACTTTCTCAACACTAGTTTTGTTCCGACTTCTAAAAAAAAGATTTAGATCTCGGTACCTTTGACTTCAAATGATTGTATCAGCTCGGTGCAAAGGTTCCTTTCGTTTTTGGACTTACCCGAGATCCCCTAGAGTGAGGAAAAAGGTCAGTTAAGCGTTGCCGTATGCAGACTTTCTTCCCCTTTCCAGCTGTTATGCTCCCGATGGAAGTCACTTGACAAGAGCTGAATTGAACTCTAAAACTTACAAGGTTCAATTTTACCACGTCTAACATTTGATAATTTTCACAATCTTTATTTGATACCTGTGAAGTGCTTCGATAACCTTCTGATAGGGCAAAGCTTTTGCAATGCAACTTTTTTGTTTACTTTTGGCTTGTTTCTTCAAATTTTGTTGAACAATTGCCCAATACTCCTGATTTCGATAAAGTCAAAAACACAAAATTACGCAAAAGACTGCGAAATTATCATGATAATGAGGTCCTGATTCTTGATTATTACTAAAATCAACCTCACGAAGCAAATAAGTGACTATCGCTCAAAAACGAGGAAATTTCGAGATCTGAGGTACAACCTTGAGCACCTGAAATTGGAAAATTCGGGAATTTTGACAGCAAATTTGGCATGTATTGCAAAGAGAAGTGCTAACTGACTGTTAAGAGGAGAAGACGTTGTATCGAATGGTATTTGAACTGTCTAACATTTCATGTTTGCCAAAATCAGAAAGGGGCGAAGATGAAAGTTGGTCAAATAGAAAGTATTAGGTCGTTTCAAAAGTTCGTTCGCCAGTTTTTTGAAAAATCAAAAATTCCTTATCAATGGATTTTGTCGACTGAAATTATGAAAGAAGAAACCATGATTGGTAGTAATATGGTCGAAACCATCATGTTAACTGTGTTTTCATGACACCAGCTAACCAGCAGCTTCACATCATTTTCCCAACGAAACCACGAATTAACCAGTAGGAAACCTCAAAATGCTATCTTGCAAAGCAAAGTCATCGGAGAAGATGGAAACTCCAACCATTCTCATGCTTGTCGGCAATCATTGCACTTCACCAAATTTGCAGTTCGGCCTCCAGAACTTGCACCTTCCTATAACCTTATCTAAGCTGTAAACAAGTAAGCTTTCTCATTAGAAGTTGCAGAATGATCTCCCTCACTCTTCTTAATTTGCAAAACCAACACATCATTGTTTCAAACGAAAAAGTGGTCGGGGGTACTTTTTCATTTTAAACTATGATTAGTGGTTTCATGTCTGCGTCTCATGAAATGAAATGCTGTTTTCATTACTCTACCTGATAAGGAAACAATGGTATTAACCTGCTGATTAATTCATAGTTTGGTTTAGAATGAAACAAGCATGAAACAAGTATGATTTTCCGAAAGTAACTTGCATGTTTCATAATTTTGTATAACCGATTGAACTGAACGGCCGTAAGAAGATGATCATGCTTACCACGATGTAATCACGATTAAACCATCACATCATTTGTTGATTTCGACCATATTACTACCACTCTATGTTTTTTACAGCAGTACCTCAGTACAGAAACTGGTATGAGAATATTTGAGAGGAGAAGCATTTGAAAGAAATTACTCAAGATTAGCATTCTTCAAGCACGATCACGAAAAATTCTGAAAACATTTTTGTTTGAAAAAGAAATTTTTACAAATTTTTTCACGGATTAATATGAACTAGTTTGAAAGTTAATTGCACATGAGGAGAATTACTTCAATTTTGCAATTTTTGAGCCTCACATGTAAAATGTCACAGCGGAAGCCGAAACGTTCATAAACGTACGTTTTATGATCTCCTCTTTTTAGCTGAGTGGAGTTCGAGCCGATCAAGAGCAGGGTGACTTTCGTGAAACACGCAGAGCATTTTCAAAAATTTAACTTCTCATAGGAACATTCGCTTAGCAAAACCTTTGCCTAGTTAGAAAGACGAGATCAGTACTCTGCGTTGATACCACTGCTTATTTTCTGTAAGGTTTGTGGGTTTTTGATGAGCTTTTCTAAAATTGCCAACTTTTGAGCTCTTTTCTTTTTGCATTTACAACTCTGCCACTTATGCCTAGTGGGACGCACTTGAACCGTACTTAAAAACTGCATGACATTTACATTTCAAAAAAATTCATTTTAACGCAAATTCAGTCAGATAGCAATGAGTTACGATGTTTTCAATAGTAATGCCAAAGAACTTTTGAAATGACCTGATATTAAGTTGTCCCATAATTAATGCACGTTTTCCTAACCTCTTCTTAAAAGAGCTGATTTTCAAAGAAAAAACCAACGACCGAAAAACGATCACGAAGCTTTGTCATACAAAATACTTGTCTGTATGAGATTTTTGAGAATTTCCGAGCTGTGAAATCTTGTCTCAAACTTGGCTGGTCGCTGAGATCCATTTAAGCGGCATAAAAATATCAAGCAAAAAGGAACTGTGTAAATTTCGCTATGTACACGTAGAGTAGTAGGGTAGACCTAGTACATTGAATGCTAGAAAGCATTTCATCGTCTTTTTTCTAAGAGACAAAATTCAAAAAAATCTCAAAAAGGCAGTTTCTTGAATCTTCCAAAATACTGACAAAATGGGCACTTCCGTTTTTTTGCAAAATTTTCTTACAAAAACATGTTGTAAAATTCAAACTTCACTTCATTGCAAAACCGACCATCGGCTATATAATGAGCAAAGTTCGCGCGATCCTAGTACATTTGAGCGAAAGTTAAGCTCTTTCAAAGTATAGGTTTCTAAAACAAAGTTCGAGAATTTTTCAGGCTATAAAATCTTTCTCAAAGAGGCTGCGATCCAACAAAAGCATGCGTTCCATAGTCAAAGGTTTGTTGTTTGCAGTTATCTTTATTGCGCTCAAAAAAATGGTTTGGGAAAAAAGTTATCTTGATTAGAAGTTGAAATTCGTAAAACGTGCATTAATTATGAGGCAACCTAATTTATTCTAGTAAATCAAAAAATCAAGTTAGAAGGATAAAAATTGCATCAGTCTGCAAAAGGTTTCTCCTATTAGGTGGTTATGAAAACTCTTCAAAATTCTAAAGTGAAAGTGCTGAAAATTAACGGAAAGTAGACAAAATAAAGATGAAGAGTTCTAGTTTTCAGCAATTTCAGCGCTCGTCGAGTAACGTGCATCAGAACATAACCGCTAGAAAGACGAAATTTTACTTAGGGTACTGCTTAGGAAATTTGTTTACCTTCACTTCAAGAGGTACGCGTAGGGTGAAAAGTTTTTTGCGACAACCTAATAGATATAAGGTATCCCATTTCCCATTATTGTGCTTGCAAAGTTTGATAGATTGTCTCTTTTCGCACCGAGTCTTTTGCAAATTTACAAGCACTACTCTGTAGAGCTGCCTTTTGCTCAGTTATATGGCGTAACGGATCTCTTGTTATTTGCATTCCGATAGAAACATCTAAATGGTTTGACAGACTGACAGACTTTTGTTGCCCTCAGAAAGCAAACACACCTCCTGGAAATCCTTACACTAGGATAATAGTGAGAATCGCTGATTTTTATTGTTAAATTAGCATTTTAACTTGTTGCTTCGTTTAGAAGTTATGCTTAGTACAATGCAGTACTCTGCGTTGATACCACTGCTTCTAGTAAGAAGTTAAGCAATTGAGTTGACGTGCTCGAAAACTCTGCAAGATGGCGTTAGTGTTTTGGAATTTTTTGGAACGGCGTTTCATTTACAGTAGCACTGTATGTTAGAGCTTTTTACCGTCATCCCACGGATATATTAGGTTGGAAACTAAGTTTTGCAACTCATTAAATAATCTTGCTCTCATTTGATATGAAGCACCTGAATTTTGCCAATATGTTGCTTACGACGTAAGCTACAAGCATAGCTGCAAAGGGGTAGGTTGTAAATCATTACGGAAGGGCTGAAACTTGGCGAGGGAATTATTCGACATGCTGATCACGAATAACATGCTGAATCTGCATGGTAAGGGTTTTTTTGTAAGATTGCAGTAGTTCAATGGTATGGGAACTCACCTTAAACAGTAGAAACATAAAAGCCCCTATGTTCTTTGAAGGCGGCATCTAGGCAAATCTGGACCTATGGGGCTCTCTCGTGGAAAGTAATCTTGACGCCTTAAAAAAGACTCTGCCCAAGCGGCAAATCAGATAGAGCATTCACGGTCAAGATATTGGGCTCCAAACTACGTGACCGTATTTGCATGGATTCATGGCTACGCACATCAGTTTCGCGTGGATCCTCGCGCGAAAGCGCCACGAGTCCATGCGAATACGATCACTGGGCATAGTTTGGAGCCCAATATCTTAGCGTGAGTGCACTATACATATGAGTTGCCGCTTGGGCAGAGTCTCATATAGGGCATCAAGATTACTTTGTACGTGAGAGCCCTCGGTCCAGATTTGCCCGGACGCTGCCTTTAACTTTGTAAAGGCGCTGAAATTCGAGCTGTCTTTCAAACGTATTCCGTTCCTACTGGACCAAATGAGTCAACTTCATGCAATAATTCACATATAAGTTTGGTTCATTATGCATGATGTGAGTCGCGAACGGCTTCATTTTTGCCCAAAAACTTATAAATCCTCGAGATGAGGGGGAACATTTCTCATGTTGTGATAAACATAAAAGTGTGAGATTCCATCTGCACTTATTCTAATATATTAACGCGCTAAGGCCGTCTGTTTTTTGTGTGTCTGTGTGAAAATCTGTCTGTCACGAAATTCGTAGAGGAAGCTGCAACCAAGCTATCGAGCTGCAATATTGCATAACATACCGTGCCAGCGTGTAACAAGGACGAGCCGGTTCGATAAGCGGGTCCCTCAAAATTCGCGGGTCAAACGGGTCCACGCGCGTTTTGGCACGCAAAACTG